AGCTAGTACATTCAATGCTGTACTTAGCTTCTAGATCACATTTTACAGAACAAATCAGGGGAATATGGGGAGGGAAACAGGCTCTAGTCAGCATTTACCAGACAGGAATTGAAGGTAGCAGCAGTTCCCTCAGCTTCCCGTTTTGTTTCTTCATAGCACTTACTATAGTTTATTGTTACGTATTTCTGGATTACAGACCAGTAGCTACCTAAAGGCAAGAATTATTTATAACCTTTTTCTTACTGAAAACAGAGAACTAGCATAGTGCTAACTACATAGTATGTGTAAAAAGAATAAATGATAGATATTGAATCAGGTTCTGAATCTAGGTACTCCATATCTAAATCTGCCAGCAAATGTCAAGTTGGTGCCATGAATGAAAGCAGTTTGTGAATGAAATCCCATATAAGAAAATAAGGGAAAATAGGCCAGGGGAGACTAATTTACCCTATTCATGGGATTCTACAGTTACAGTTGAGAGCAGCAAACAAAAGCTTCTGGCCAGAGGCTTTTTGCTTGTCAGTTAAACTACAAAATGCAGATCTGGTAGAGGCAATTTATATTTCTAGTATAGAAAATGGAACATAAAAATAAACTGAAAAAGAACAAAAAAAATTAAAAGGAAAATGGGGGTCAGGCACAGTGACTCATGACTATAATCCAAGCATTTTGAGAGGCCGAGGCGGGAGGATTGCTTGAGGCCATGAGTTCAAGACCAGGCTGGGCAACACAGCAAGATCCCATATCTACAAAAATATTTAAAAATTAGCTGGGTATTTTTACTCACTGTAGTCCCTGCTACTCGGGAGGCTGAGGCAGGAGGATCCCTTGAACCCAAGAGTTTGAGGCTGTAGTGGGCTATGATTAAACCACTGTACTCCTGCCTGGGCAATAGAGCAAGACCTTGTCTGAAAAGAAAATGGGACAATTTGTAAAGCAATTGAATAAATAAAATGAATACAAAATTATGGATAAAGAAAAAAAAATTAATCCAGAGTGAGAATATTATATAAACTCTACACACTGTGGGGTTTGGGAGACTAAATTGAGATGGGACAGAGTGGCAGTAAGATAACAAGAAGTAGATTCTAGAAAGGCACTGATGTAAAAAATATCAGGACCCATATTAATTTTCTGTGCTACAAAACACAAATTTAGCAGCTGAGAAACAACATATGCATTCATTACCTCACAGTGTCATTGGGTCAGGAGTCTGATACAGCCTAGTGGGGTGCTCTGCTCAGAATGTGGCAAGGTTGCAATCAGTGTGTCAGCCAGACTGCCTTTTTTGAAAAATTCAGTTCCTTGTGGGTATAGGACTGAGGTCTGTGGCTTGCTGGCTGACAGCCAAGGATCATTCTCAGCTCATTGAGGCCTCCCTTAGGTCTTGTCTTGTAGCTCCTTTCATAACATGGCAACTTACTTCTTTAAAGCCAGCAGGGGAATCTCCCTGACCTCAGAGAATGCCTCTGGCCTTCTTTGAAAGGGCTCATCTGATTAGGTCAGGACCAGCCAAGAAAAGCTTGCTTTTGATTAGCTCTCAGAAACTTGATTAGGGACCCTGACCCTAATTACACCTACAGAATTCTCTTTGCATATAACATAATGTAATCATGGGAATGACAACCTATCATATTTCTGGGTCCCATACAAGGGGAGGGTATTGTACCAGAGCATGTCATCTGAGAATTGTGTCTACCACAGGATATTATACTGAAGAATAAGTTTTTCAGTACATTCTTATTTCTTCTTACAGTCGCTTAGAGAGTTCTCTCCTTTTCAGGGATTTATGCTTCCTCAATGTTAAATTTAAATAAATTATTAATAGATAGTGTCTAGTTTAAAAATTTTATAGTGTTAAGTTCTATTTTATAACCTTTGGTTAGAAATAATTGACTACACGTAAATCAATACGAATCTCAGTACTTATTCTTATTGAAGTCAACTTTTAAATTGAAATAGATGTTTGGGAGACTATAGACGGATTGCACTGCTGCGGATATAGAGTCAGAGGAGCATATCTGCCTTCAATACCTGTGTAGTAGTGTAGGAGGGATCCTAGATTGATTCTAGTCAAACAAGTAACTATGACTTAAGACAAACTAAAGTTTCTGTCATGAGAGAAATTACCAGGTTATTATGTATATACATGTTAAAGTTTTATTAATCTAGCTCCTCAGCCTTTAACACTTCTCAGACACTATTAGTAGCCTTTACCACAAGATAACAATGCTGACAATGAACATCTACTACGTGCAATCACAGACGTTTTAAGATTCTGTCCTCAAGATCACCTTTGTTAGGTAGACAAGCACCGTCTCTTTTTAAAACGAGGAAACAAAGCCATGTGTTTGTGCAAGCTCACTCAGCTGGTAAGCAGTAGACCCAGAGAATATGAATCCAGAAATTATGATTCTTCCATGTGTGTTTTGTTATCACTTGTTCTTAACATAGTGTGACTTAAATGCTTATAAATATTTGCTTGAAGATGGAAAGGCAATAGTAGAGAAATAGGAATCATGCTGCTAATAAACAAGAAAACTCACAATTTTAAGAGTAATCTTAATTTATTGGTAGATTTTTATGGCACAGTCTCTTTCTAACAAGGTCACCCACAAAAGTTGTCTCACAGCCTACAGCAAATGTAAGCAAAAGAAAGTTACTTATACATTTTTTCTCATCTATAGCTTTCTCAGTAAGAAGTAGAATTTTTAAACTGAGAGAAGTTAATAAGAGAGCTCTAGTTATTTGTCCACAATGCTAAGGAGAACCAAAGGTTTCCAAACTGATGGAATGTGTGATTTACATATTTCCTGTTTTTCAACAGATGCTGTGTAGCATTTCTATGCATATATAACTAACACCGGAAATATGTTTTCAAGATTGTAGATTTTAAATATTGTTTAATCAAAATATTATATTTTAATAAAGTACAAGTCGTTTAGTTTACTGCCTCTGTAATTTCAGTTTTTCTTCATTTAATACATTTTTATATTGTTAAATTGAAGTTGAAAGTTACGTATGCATGTCTTTTAGAAGAATGTATTTATTGACTTGATCTTTCCTCAGTGGAGGCACATTTATAGTTTCAGGATCTGCCAGGTAGAAAGATGAGACAGAAATCTGGTGGCATACAAGTATAACAAATGAGAGAAGCCACCTAAGTATTCCAGTAAGAAGAAAGGAACAAAGAAGTCTTCATGAAGGAGGAATACTAAGCTGCCCTTTAAAGATGAGACAGATTTCAGCAGAAAGAAACACTATGTGTAGAGTCATCCATGTAAAAATGGCAGGCAGGTTTGGGGAATGGCAGGCAGGTTTGGCTTCATATGATGCCTGACAGCAACACAAATTGAAGCCTAAGCTTAGAGAGCCTTATTATCCACAAACATTTGAGCTTTATTCTATTGGAATGAAGAACCCATGAAGGGCTTTGATTAAGGGAATAACTGGTCAGTGTTGTTTTAGGAACTTTTATAAAAGGTGGAATGAAGGTAGGGAAAGGTTGACGGCAGAGAGAGGGTTATTGTAATAGTCTTAATGAGATAATGAGGGTTTGCATTAAGAGAGTGGCTGAAAGGAATGAAAATGAGAAACACTATGTAATTTGCAGAACCTGACAATTGATTGGACATAGGGAATGAATAAACAGGGAGGGAGATGGATTCAAGCTTGAATATTAGACAGGAAGATTTCCAGGTTTAAGGAAACTAAGAGTTTACTATTAGATATTAATTATTAGGTTCTTTTGGGACAACTCATGAACAAATTTCATGGAACAAATTTCATAAACAATTTCCTAAAATTTATAGAACCATGCTTTTAGATTATAAGGTAAAATATAGCCAAATAGTTTTTTTCACCACAGCATACTTTTTATGTTGCCAGAACATAGTTTAATCTGAAGTATATCAAGTTCTAGTTTTGAATCCATGATCTTAAATATTCATATTTAATAATATGCACTTACATATACAAATACATATATAACGATGGTATAGTTTCTAGAAATTGTGTTTTAAATATAGTGTTAATACTTAAGTAACATGTTTCATGTTCATCTTACTGTACACTTTAGCTACATCTTTTGCTATTTCTAATTGGAATTTTTAACAAAGAAAAATTTTTCCCCCTCTGAGAGATTTCAGTATCATTTTGTCTAATTGTACCTTATGTTAAGGTACCACATTATAAGCTTCTTTGGAATAATAAAATAGTAACGCAAATACCCTCTTAAGCAGCTCTGAGTTGTTATGCCATTATAGTTTGGTGGCATTCTGCTGACTATAGATTGGTGAATGAGAAGGGCTAACATTAAGATGGTTTCTTTTACACTCCTTCATAAAAACATTACTATTATATCATTTAGCAAAATGTTTATGCTATTAAAAATTCAAAATGTAAGGAGTTTAGTGCATTTCTACCTCAACATTAGAAACAGGACCTTTCAACAATCAATCAAGTGCATAAAACTGAGCGAGTTTGTTTGCACGCTATTTATTTGAACTAAATCTCTAACAAGCCTCGTCTGCTAATTGGACTTAACATTTATGTTGCTAAATGAGAATCATTTTGGCTGCTATATAGGATGGTAAGACCTACCCAGTGGAATAAACAGCTAACATCTGTTATCCTGTCCTGCTCCAGCTTGGCTTTTCCCAGTTAAGTACTACATCAGCCCTGAAGTCGAGGTTATCAAATATGTGAATCTCTGGCTCACCCATTTATGTGTGAAGGTAAAGAAATAGTGCATCATCAGTCAGGACCAGCCAACCAAAAGATACTGAGTACAGCTGGTTCACTTTGTTTTAACTTTGCAAGCCCTACTACTATAAGCAAAATCTAATAGAGGTTAAGACTTTTGTAAAGTTCGTATAATAACTATAATTAATTTCAGTTCCCTTTAATATTTTCCTAGCTGTAGACTTTTATGCTGATAATTATTAGATTAAATGTAGTTACTTTTATAATATATATTTATTTTCTTTTTTTAAAAAAAGAAGCTAAATTTGGATTTGGCTGGGCTTCGGAAAGAAAAAGAAGATTTACTAAAGAAATTGGAGTCCTCATCTGAAATCACAAGTTTGGCAGAAGAAGTTTCCCAAGTAACATTTCCACGGATACAAGTTACATCACTTGGTCCTTCAAGGAGCATGGATTTGGAAATGAAGCAATTACAGTGTAAATTAAAGGTGATTATAAAGTTTAGTAAGCATGAAAACATGTATTATGGTTGAATCCTGCAAGACATATTTATATGAACACTAATTTTTTCTAATAAAGGTAAATTATAGTATAGATAATCCAAAATTATTAATATTGCCATCATCATTACTTTTTAGCCCGGTAGATTCTTATAATGAATACTACCATTCTCTGAAAAAGACAAGACATCATGAAATCCTAATTTAGGAGCTGATGTAAACTGGCCGATATCTGCTACTCTAATACTTCTTTCTGCCCCCATGCCTCCCTCCAGCTAAACAGAATCCTTTCAGACATGTAATATGTCAACATAAATAGAATTGCTTTTCTCTGCATACTTCCAGCAAGTTAAACTTGAGAGTGAAACCAACCCACTTTTGCTCTCTGCTTCTTCTCCCTCCCGCTTATCTCCTCCTTCTCTGTCTCCAGCCAACAACCAAATTAAAATAGTAGGAAGTATGTAGAAAAAAAGCAATGAGAGGAAAAAAAAAAAAAGAATCTAAGACCAAGCAAAACTGTCAGCAACTTAAAAGTAAGGCTGTCCTTAGTTTAAGTAGAATTCCCTTGTAAGAAATAGGATTTGTGAGTGAGTTTTAATTGGAAAGTTCATTTTCATGCTTCTTAAGCCCATTTATTCCTCACATATTTAAATATTTTCTTCAGTGGGGGTTGCTAGCTAGAAGCTAAAAAGGGCAGTGTATATGGGACCATTGCTATAATGTGAGTCACTAGAAAGAAAATCCTGACTGTAAATGCACAGAGGACATTAGAAATGGAATAATCATCCCTCTTAGAGGGTACTGGAATACTATGTTGAAATGTCAAATAGACTCGTCATTGTTTTCAATCCCAAATAGGGTATGTGCACCCTTCAATAATATATCTTTTAGTGCAGATTTACTCATAGGATAAATAGGATAAAACTTAAAATAAATGAGTTTATTATTGCTTGAAAATAATTTGCTTTATTAATAGTAACCAAATATACAAACTAGCATTGGGATTCTTCTTGAATACCATCTTCTTTAGACAGTTTTTATGTGTAAAACTTGGGTCAGTCACAACATTTTATAATCTTAAATAACTTATAAAATATTAGAAATGTGAGGGAAAAAGTGTTATGCAATTTTGGGGCATGAACCTTAAAATGTGTCTCTGAAAATGAGGGATAAAATGTGTAAACTGAACATTTCAGTGTTAAGGTTTCATATAGAGAAGATAAAATCATTGAGATATTCCTTGATCTTATCTATCACATAGACTTTAATTCTTACTTCTGTGATTCTTCGTGTATTTAAGTCCTCATGATTCTAACTTTGTTTTTCACCAAGATAAAATAGAGTGCTAGATCCAGTATTGTCTAATCTGACTTCTAGAAGACATAGTTTTAAGTTGATTTATACATAAATCATAATTTATGATTTTTACATAAACAGTTTTTCATTGATTTATATTTTACTTATTTTACTTACTACAAATGGTCTAATAATTTTTGGTAGTAATAGATCCATATGAGTGTCTGTAAGTTCTTTGTATTATGATTTTTCATGGTGTAAGCTTTTACCCACGTACAGGTCTCTCTCTTGGTTTGGAGGAATGTATGAATCAGAAAGAGAACTAAAGCAATTAGTTTGAATTGATTGTCCATAATCTAACCTAGAGTCTTGGAACACTGACCAAACTGCATAGGGACAGAAAGGATAAATTTTTACTTTTGTTTTGTTTCATATTTTCATATAGAAATTTCCTAGAAGACCAAATATCTTTAAGTATATAATACTCTCTACTACTAAAAATTTTTGTTTTGATTCTGGTTTGTAGAGATTCCATAACAAAATACCACAGACCGGTTGTCTTAAACAGTGAACGTATATATTATTCTCACAGTTCTAAAGGCTGGAAGTCTAAGATCAAGGTGTCCACAGGTTTCATTTCTGTTGAGGCCTCTCTCCTCGGTTTGTAGATGGCTCTCTTCTCCCTGTGTCTTTACATGGTCTTCCCTCTCTGTGTCTTTGTGTCCTAATTTCCCTGCTTATAAAGACACCGCTCAGACTGAATTAGATTCCACCCTAATAACCTCATTTTACCTGAATTATCTGTTTAAAGGCCTTATCTCCAAATACAGTCACATTCTAATGTACTGGAGGTTCAGTGAGAACTTCAACATACTAATTTGTTTAGAAGAAATAGAATTTGGCTCATTCCAGATATCAAACTGATAATATAGTGATTTTTAAATAAGTAGCTTATTTTCTACTTAATGTTTTTAGACTTAATTGAGAAAATTGGCTAGATTCGAATATACTAAAGGTTTATACACACCTTTTCTGTACTATGCAGTTAATATTACACTTTTCTGTGTAATTTTATATATGTTTTTCTGATGTCTGTGGTTCATTTACAGTTGAGAAAACTGAGACACAGAAAGAGTAAGTTACTTGTCCAAGATCACACAGGTACTGCATATAGAGCTGAGATTAGAACTCTAACCAGCTGGCTCCATAGTCCATGCTCCTAATCATTATACTATGCAAATTAAAAAAAAAATTCAATAAACTTTGTATAGGAAAGCTGTAACAGGGATGACTTTTTACCATTGTGACATTTTTGATGTATATGTTTTACACAAGATTTTAAGTCATGTTACAGATAAATATTGTGTAGTAGGGAATGGAAAAGGGACAAAAGACCTGGGTTTCAATCAATTTTTGGCCATTAACTTCTCGTCAACCTGGTCAAGGAAATTACTTAACTTTTCTAGAGGTCTAAAGCAGAGATACCTTTCTACCCATCTGATAAAAATTTTTGAGGATCAAATGAAATAGCTGTTAGATTTAGAGATCTTGGCCAAAGTGTATCTCAACCCGGCGTTTTATTTATTATAAATTGCTTTTCTCTCAATTCTCCAAGTCAGAGTTAACAGTATTTTCAGCCACATAAAATACGCCTTAAGTCTAAAAACAGAAAATAATCAACCAGTTATCTTAATATCCACTTAATTCATTCCATTGAAGATACTCTCGGACTTTATTTACTGCCTGTATCTTTTATTTTAAATACAATTCTAAGTTTATTTTACTTCTCAGCAGAAAACACCTTCAGTGCAGCACACTAGAAGTATGCATATTAAGGGGAAGGATGATTGTTTTTAGGCAGGAATAATGACACAAGCAAAAAATTACAACCAACAGATTGACAGGAAAAAAAAAGGCAATATGAAAATGTTAAGGTAAATACAAAATTAGAAAAGCACAGTCTGGGACCATTTAGAGGAGGGATAAGTAGACATTTATATCACAGTAGTCCGTAAAACCATCACTATATTATAGTATAGTGATAATATAATACGTATTAGTATATCATATATAATTTATAGTGATAATATTTATAATATAATATCACTATATTAACATACCACTATTAGCTTAGCATAATCATGGATGTTCATATTTCTAACTGAATGAACAATCATCAGAGAAAGAATTGAAAATTAATGATTAAAGCAAACGCTTCAATTATTTGATAAATTGACTAGTGTGGAACATATTCAAGCAGTGCTGGAAATAAGATACTGTACATCACTGTAAACATGCAAACTATGGTATAAATTTTGATTGCATTACACACACATTTGATCAAAACATAACATTCAAAAGAGTTGCCATGCTGAAGTAGCTTTGAGTTTTTAAGAAAAATTAACATTTCATGTAAAAATTAAAATTATTTCAAATGTTCTATTTGTATGTTATATCCATGAGATATTTAAAGTCAGTCTGATGAATTACGTTTACCTTGGGTAACTAAAGTTTAATCTTTTCAAACTCAAATTATTTTTAGCATGAGTCAAACATCCAAATCTAGGAATAGTTCTAATAGAAACAATTTATTGTAGTTTAGAAATATTAGCTAAATAACTACTCCAAATATTTTAACAGCTATTATATTTTATTTATATTCATTTAATACTTTTAAAACTTAACAAATGGATTAATGTGAGTATGTCAACATTATCTTGAATGTGGAAAAACTAAAGTACCGAAAAGACTAAGTGATGTCTTAGATTATACATTTAGTTGGAACTAGAGTCAAAATTGAAAGGTGTTCTAACACTGTAGTTACCACCTCTGGTTTCTAGGCTGTACTGACAACAAATACCACAGAACTGTTTTGCTTTGAAAAACTAATAATTGTTTATAAATAATTTAATAAGTAGTGTTATTAATAACTTAAAGTAAAGAAGGATTGAGTATTCATGAGGTTTTTCTATCAGTTATCATTATTCTCTAACAAGCTATCCCAAAGTATCGTGGCTTAAAACAACAGTTTATTCTTTCTTACGATTTTGTTGGTTGACTGGGAAGTTCTTTTGTTGGTCTCTCCTGGGCAACCTCATATCCCTGGATTTTTTCAAACCGAAGGTTTCCCTAGTTGGAAGATACAAAATAGCCTCACTCATAGATCGGACAATTGATCTACTACCTGTCAGCTGTAGTGTCTTGGTACACTTCCACATGATACATCAACTGCAAGGTGATCCTGGAGCAGCATTCCAAGAAGGCAAAGAGAGAAGCCATAAAGCTTTAAGGCCTGGGAACTGAAATTTACACAATTCATTTCTGCTGCATTCTTTTGGGCAAAGCAAGTCACAAGCCAGACTACATTGAGAGGGTTGGGAAATGGATTCCCCTGCTTGATGAGCAGCAAAGCATTTGTGACCATAGTTAGTCTAAGATGTTAGTAAATCCAGTATTTGTTTTAAGTCATCTTTTTAAATAATTAAAATTCTTAACTATTCACATATTTACATTATACTAGGACAATTCACATTTCCTGTAAATGTATTTTGGATACATACTCTTTGCTATTCTTACATGATTGTGTTCCTCTATAGTTTGGCATGTTATATAAAAGTTTTAGTATTACTATAGTATTTCTATTAGAGCATATAAAATAAAGCATTTAAAATATTAAAATATTCATTTTAATTATTGTTTACCATAATTATTGTAAATGTATTCTTCTTTTTTAGAATGGCACTTATTTTTATGCTGCTTTAGACCAAGGTTGAAAGGTATATTTAAATTTATTTCTATTTTTAATCTAGAATGCAACTAATGAACTCACTAAACAGTCATCAAATGTGAAGTCTTTGAAATTTGAACTCCTAGCAAAAGAAGAACACATAAAGGAAATGCATGAAAAGTATGGTCTTTGTATTTCTAGCCATTGTATTTGGTGCCACCTAGTGGCATCCAATTCTATTAAACGTACCCTAAGAAACTGCTAATGTTAATGTTTTCCTTCCCTAGTTCATATTTAAACCTACATAAGATGAAAGTTTAAGGAATACTATATATAGCATGATTAATGGCAAGCTATTTAGTTTTTTTTATTAGAATAAGGATTAAGTTAAATTTCCCTTATTAAACATATTTAATTTTGAATAAATACAAATTAATGGCTTCGAGACTATGAATGAAAAACTTTACAATGTGGCAGTTATTTGACCCCCCCAAATATATAGATTAGTATTTGTATTGGATTTAATGCCTAAACTTATGAAGCTAAGGTATAAAAAGAAAAGTTTTGTTTGTGTTTAAAATAACCGGAGGTTATGAAAGTTTGTACTTTTTGTGTTTATCAGTAGAAAGATTTTAAATGCTGTATCCCACTGAATCAAAATTATTTTCATTCTGTATCTTTCAGAGCTACACTATTGCTTAGAAATAGTAAGATGTTTAGATAGAACTCCAGTTGTCTCTGATACATTTAAGATATATGTATCTCACAAACACACCTGTAGACCTCATTATAAGTGAAGAGCACTTAGAAGTGATATGAGTAGATAAAAGTCTTAGACAAAAAGGTTGGTTAATTTTTTAACTGATAATATTTTGAAGTTTATTTATTAAGAGTAAGTCTTGCTTATTGTTTAACAGGGCTCTCTATTAACACTCTTTGAATTCTGGCTTCCCTACCTACTAGGCCTATGCCTAAATTCAATAATATTAAATTAGGTTCTTTTGAGGAATAAATGAGCTAATACACGTAAAGCACTTACAACAGTGACTGGAACATTGTAAGTCTTCGATACATGTTAGCTATTGTCATTCTTATTTTAGTAGCAGTAGCAGCAGCAGCAGCAGCAGCAGCAGTAGTGGTTCTCACAGCATCTACCATTTTATACTTAATATTTCATCAACTGTGCTAAACAGATGTGTGGATTGAATCTCAAATTATATTAAATTAGAAGATATTATGGCTAATTTAGTTTCATTACAAGAGTTTACATTTGTTTATTGAAGTATTAGATTTTTTCTTATTGTTATGCTTTTGATTATCTTTATATATCACTTTGATTTTTCACAGCAATGTAAAAATGTGATTTAAATGAAATAGCTCTAAGTTTTCATAAGTGTTATTAATTTTTTTCATTTCTTATATTTGTTTCATATATATATGTAATTGTATAATTACCAAGTCACAACTATAGATTTTACAAGAGCTCAAAATATTAAAAGAACAATATCTTATCCAATGCAATTCATTTTACTAATTTACAGTGTCAATATCACATAACATTTAAAAATTAACAGTAGGTATAATATTGGATAAAATGTAAGATATCACCACTGTTAAGGTATTTTCTGTCACTCTTGATGTTACCTTTTTTTTTTTTCAAGGATGTCTCGAATGGAGAGGGATATAACTATGAAAAGACATTTGATAGAGGACTTGAAATTTCGACAGAAAGTAAATTTGGAAAGTAATGAGAGTTTTAGTGAAATGTTACAAAATCTTGATAAAAAGGTATCAATTTTTATCTTAACTGATACTAAAAATATCACTTCCTGTTGTATTTACTCTCTTACCACAAATATTTAGTCCTAATAAATGTATAGAAAATATTCATAAGATATGTATTTACTGTTACAAAGTAACACTCTTTGCTCTGAAAGTACATTATTTATTTTAAAATTCAAGTCTCTAAAACCTCATGCATAATATGGCCACACATTCTGTTTCTATTTATAAATATCCCATGAGAAGATTAAAAATCCTCAGTATTTCTAGGATACTTTTTTACTTTTTATTCAGTATTTCATTTTATTTAAAACTATAATTTGTGATAGAATCAAGCTTGTATTTCTTAGTGAAAACTTGATTACCAGTAACTATCAGAAGTTCTTTAAAAATGTACTTTCTTCTTAGATACCCTTAATGCATTTTACATGGGAAGGGAGTTGTACCTGCAAAGGGAGTTGTAGTTAAAGTAGTTATGTAATATATGACCCCAAACTAGAAGGTGTTTTTTGTTTTTTTGGGGTTTTTTTTTGTTTTTTTTTGTTTTAAAGATGCTATTTTCACAACTCATAAAGCACCCTGTGCTTTGGCATTCACTAAATGTTATGCACACCTGAGAGAACATCTCCTTTACTTTCCTTGTTGAAAATGAAAATTTAAGTATCTGTTAGGTCAAATGGATTTAAGAAAGAAACTTTTACTTGAGCATGACGAATCCATATGGATTTTCTTTCTCTTCTCTTCCATGCCGCTGTGCAAGTTAAAATCACTTCCTATAGGCTTTTTCAATGTTATCCTTTCAATTTTGCTATTTTTTTAACTTCAATAATAATTTCCTACATAGCCGTGGAATCTTTATATAAGTAACATTTATATTTAGTGGCATTAAACTGAAAAACTACTTTTTCTGTTATGCTTTGAGATACATATATCTTATAAATAAGCAATGTATATATATACTATTATTTTATTTCATCAAAAAGGGTATGTAATACTTATTTTAGAGAATACAATGGAAAGTTAACTATAACTTGGCTTGTTTCAGAATCAGAACAATCATCTCCTGCCTTAGGAAGTTTAAGTTAGTAATTAATGGATATGTAGTTAACATTAATATTGTGCTATTGGGTGCAAGGATATACATACCAGTATTCATTTAGTTTGTGTGCAATTTTGGGTTTTGTTACTGATTTAAGGATTGTTACTTTCATTCATAATATGAGTTCTGTAAGTATAATACTTGAATTTGATAGCGTTATGAGAAAATAAATGGAAGTAGACTCATTCACTCATTTAGTTTCTGCTGGAACAAATACAGTATATTACTAGAATGCCTTTAACAATAATAATTACCTTTATGCTTTTAATGTAGGTAAAGACATTAACTGAAGAATGTTCCAACAAGAAGATATCAATTGATTCACTAAAGCAAAGACTTAATGTTGCTGTAAAAGAAAAGTCACAGTATGAACAGATGTATCAGAAATCTAAAGAGGAGTTAGAAAAAAAGGTATGCTTTTAAAAAGATCATTTTAGCTTAGAGATGGAATATAATGGTGTTTGTTTCATTGTTAACATTGTTGATTTTTTTCCTTCCCCAAACCACAAGCTAGTTAAACACTTCAAATAAGTGCAAAGAGGATTTGTATCTCTACATGAAACACTAAACATTTGTTTAACATTAAAGATATTTCTGTATTAGAGAAAACAGGTTTTGTTTGTCTTGATAGTTTTTAAGAAATGAAAACTATTATTGAACACTGGTATTTATACAAGTAGATATAAATTTTGTAGGCCCACTCAAACTTTCAAACTAAATGTTTCCATGTTATGTAGAGCATCTTTGGGGGTCTAAAATAGCTTCCATGCTTTTAATTATTTATAATCTTTAAAAATCATAAACTAATTTTGATGATAAGTATATGAGAATGTGTACTTAGGGTGTTTTATTGAAAATTAATGAAAATAATCATTAATTTTACCCAAATAATAAATACATATATAGAGAGAATAATAAAATATTTTCCTTATTTGACATGTATAACTAACTTTTCCAAATCTGTTTATAAAATATCTTTTATTTTATGACTGCTGATCTTTTGCAGGATCTCAAGCTTACTCTCCTAGTATCAAGAATAAGTGAGACTGAATCTGCAATGGCAGACATTGAAACAGCAGCATCTAAGCAGCTTCAAGGATTAGCATTGCAAAGTGAACAGGTTCTAGAAGGTGCACAGAAGACATTGCTGTTAGCCAATGAAAAAGTGGAAGAGTTCACCAAATTCGTGAAGGTTAGAATTACTTGTCGTTTACTAACTTGTACTTTACTTTAGGCAGAGTAGGCAGTAGCTTACTTGAGATGATTTAGGGAATAAAGTTTCTTTCTGCTTTTGTAACACACAAAACATCTTCTCCTACCCTATTTATCACATTGCTAATAATTCCTGCATAAAAAATTTATTTTTATAGTTTGAATTTAAAATTTTCTACCATCTTAATATTTCTTTCTTAATATCAATTTAGTTATGAAATGGTAGTAGTCAAGTCATCTGGACAGGTTTTAAGTTGAAAGAATTAAGCCATTCCCGCTCTACTCTCCTTTTGAAAATTGTTCAAGCAGGAACAACCAGAAACTTGCTCAGTGTTCAGTGATGCTAAGAGACATCTGAAGCCCAGGCCACAAACTGTGAAGACATGGGATAGGCAGAGGAATGGCACATGACAAGCAGAACAAAGAGAAGACAAACTCAAGTATCTGCAGAGGTGTACCATCTAGAAATTATCTAAAAGCTAAAGAGCCCTAGAAAGCCTTCATTCCCCTAGACTTAGAAGTTAATAACATTTTATGCCACTATTAAGAGTACTCCACTTAGAGGAAATTCCTTACTTTGCTTCTTTGGAAATCATAGATACCTTGGGAGTTTTCTCATTTTAAAAATATCTACAAAATGAATTGATAAAACATTTTATCTCCTTTATCTCTTTTAATGAATATTTCAACTGGTGTGAACTCAAGCCAATAATGCCTGCCTCTGAGGATCCTAAATGATTGCAAAGTACTAATTTTAGTAAATGTAATTTACCTTTTCCAGATTCAAAACATTTTTTCTAAATGCTTGTTGAATTCACTGTTTAACTTATAGTGAACACTTTCATTAAATATTGTGACTTATACACTGCTGGTGGGAATGTAAATTAGTTCAGCCACTATGGAAAGCAGTTTGGAAATTCTCAAAAAGTGAAAAACAGAACTACCATTTGACCCAGCAATCCCATTATTGGGTACATAACCAAAATAATAGAAATCCTTCTATCATAAAGACACATGCATGCGTATGTTCATTGCGGCACTGTTAACAATAGCAAAGATATGGAATCAACCTAAATGCCCATCAACAATAGACTAGATTAAGAAATTGTGGTACATATACACCACAGGATACTACACAGCCATAGAGAAGAATGAGATCAAGTCCCTTGCAGCAACTTGAATGAAGCTGGAGGTCATTATCCTAAGTGAACTAACACATGAAGAAAAAACCAACACCACATGTTCTCACTTATAAGTGGAAGCTAAACATTGACTGCACATGGACACAAAGAAGAGAACAATAGACATTGGGGCCTACTTGAGGGTGAGGGTGGGAGGAGCGTGAGAATTGAAAAACTACCTATTGGGTACTATGTTTATTGCCTGGGTGATGAAATAATATGTACATCAAACCCCTGCAACACAAAATTTATCTACAGAACCAACCTGCACATGTATCCCTGAAACTAAAATAAAAGCTATATATATATAGTCATTATTTTACTCATGAGGTAGAACCATTTTTATTATGAGTATTACCTTCATAAACCTTGGTTTTTGTTTTATATTCAACTTAGCATTTTGTTTGTGGAGCTTTTGGCTAAGATATAAAATATGAAATATATAATTATGAGATTTATTCAAAAGGCTAATCATTGTTTTTCCTTGAAATACTCTTTGAATGTGGCACTTTAAAAAAGAAGGATGAATGAGAATCAGAAGTTTTCACAATAGAAAAATTAATTTCATGACTGTATATCTGATTATCATATTCTAGATGAAGTTTCATGACTTCCATGATAAGGTAAATGGGTATATTTCTCCACACAAAGTGGTTTAGCAAAAATTATCTTTAAGAAACTTTTCTTTTTTTTCTCTTTCTTTTTGAGACGGAGTCTCGCTCTGTCGCCTAGGCTGGAGCGCAGTGGCCGGATCTCAGCTCACTGCAAGCTCCGCCTTCCGGGTTTACGCCATTCTCCTGCCTCACCCTCCTGAGTAGCTGGGACTACAGGCGCCCGCCGCCTCGCCCGGCTAGTTTTTTTGTATTTTTAAAGTAGAGACGGGGTTTCACCGTGTCAGCCAGGATGGTCTCAATCTCCTGACCTCGTGATCCGCCCGTCTCGGCCTCCCAAAGTGCTGGGATTACAGGCTTGAACCACCGCGCCCGGCCTTGTTTCTTTCTTTTTTTTTTTTTTTGAGATGGAGTCTCGCTCTGTCGCCCAGGCTGGAGTGCAGTGGCCGGATCTCAGCTCACTGCAAGCTCCGCCTCCCGGGTTCAAGTGATTCTCCTGCCTCAGCCTCCCAAGTAGCCGGGACTACAGGCACACGCCACCGCGCCTGGCTAGTTTTTTGTATTTTTTAGTAGAGACGGGGTTTCACCATGTTAGCCAGGATGGTCTCGATCTCCTGACCTCGTGATCCGCTCGTCTCGGCCTCCCAAAGAGCTGGGATTACAGGCTTGAGCCACCACGCCCGGCGAGAAACTCTTCTTTATATCCAATGATATAAATAGTATTTAATGATGAAGTGAGTATCTAAACTGTAATTATTCAAGGGTAACATTAGTCCTTCATATTGTTCATCAACAATGATATTGAGTAGATGTCTTAATAGATAAATTCAGGATTGCTGTGGTTTCATGACTTTTTTTTTTTTTTTTTTTTTGAGACGGAGTCTCGCTCTGTCGCCCAGGCTGGAGTGCAGTGGCCGGATCTCAGCTCACTGCAAGCTCCGCCTCCCGGGTTCAAGCCATTCTCCTGCCTCACCCTCCCAAGTAGCCGGGACTACAGGCACACGCCACCGCGCCCGGCTAGTTTTTTGTATTTTTTAGTAGAGACGGGGTTTCACCATGTTAGCCAGGATGGTCTCGATCTCCTGACCTCGTGATCTGCCCGTCTCGGCCTCCCAAAGTGCAGGGATTACAGGCTTGAGCCACTGCGCCCGGCCAAATAAAGGGCCACCAGCAAATTAATGCCAAAACCATATATTGATGGCAAAGACTGGATATTTGGATCTTAAGAAAGGCGTGATTATCATCTTTCTTTTGCTTGTACATATGGCTCTAGGTCTAGGCAGAAATGCTTAGGACCCACCATCTGAAGCAGCGTATCATCAATGACTCCCTAAATACTACCACATTAGGTGCATTAGATCAATGCTTCCTCCTTTTTAAATACTTAAGACCTTCCATAACTGGGTGTTATCCTGCTGAAGTCTAATCTTTTCCACTACTCTTTCACCCATATTGTGCTTATTCCTGCCTTTGTTCAAGTTTTCTTTCTCACCCAAAATGCCTTCCCCTCTTTGTTCTCTCCTTCAGATTTAACTCTGGGCCTTCCTCTGTCATGAATCTGCCCTTTAACTCTGTAGTTGATAGAACCCAACTCTGCCATTTACTAACTCTCTGACTTCAGGATAGTGACTGAATCCTCTGTGCCTCAGTTTCCCCATCTGTAGAATGAGTTTAATAATCGAACATAAGCGAAGTGAGGATTTAAATAAGTTATCATAGCTAAAGATCAGAACAGTGCCTAATTGCTATCTCAGTATCAACTATTATTATCAGTAGTAGTAATAGCAGTAGTAGTACGGCTCTGACTCATCTCCTGAACATTTATTTTATGTACATTAACACAATCATAAACTGGTATTTTTCTTTCTGTTTCAAATAAATTAAAGCCAGCTTGAGGAAAGGAGCATTGTTATTTGTTGTCTTCAGGGTACTGTTACATAACAGAGCTCATTAAATTTTTGAGGAATTGGTTTATATCTGCTTCAGGAATGGTACTGAACATATAGTCACCGCTCAAATGGAAAACTCTGTGAACAGTGAGAACTATGTGCATTCCTTAATGAGCAGAGTTAAGGAATGCACATAGTACCTACATGGAACATTATGATCACCAGGACTCATTCTGTGCAGAGCTTATTAGGGTGTCATGTACACAAAAGTACTTAATAAATATTATTAGTAGTATTAATAGTAATAATGTTTGTTCTGGCCCTGTTGTGGAATCTATGTTCCCTTTAGTCTTTTCATTTATTCATAGGGCGCAACCAGATTATGGAAGAGGTGGAGTGGCCATCTGTTCTAGATCTAGTCTTGAATATGGAATTTGGCCCTGGGGTGAAATCAAGTACTTTGAGCATCTGGGCTGGATATATGTGGCAGAGCTGAGGCTTTGAATTCTTCTAATAACTGAATAAAACACACAAGGGAAATTTCTAGAAGTATTTGCTCAGTTTGACTCAGCCGTGATAGAGGCTTGTTAATGTGCCTGTATGTGAGAGTCATATGCCAGGCTCCATCTTTTCAGTGGATTTTGTTAGCTATGAAATAAATACCAGCCAAAAAACAATATTTAGCTGGAAGCATAAATGGTTTCATTATCAATATGTACTTGCTTTGGTAAGATTCAGTAAGATGCTTTTGGTATATAAATTTCTTGCTTCTTTAGCGACTACATTTGTGTAGCATTAGAATTTTATTTTTACACATACAATTGTTAATAACTTGGCACTTTTGTCTTAATTAAGATTTATAAATAGGTCTGTGATACAATTCAACTTGAATTAACTCTTTTCACCCTGTCATTATACTGAAAAAAGAAATGACAGCTGTGTTTAGAGAAAGGTTTCATAATACAAATGTTTCCTTATTTGGAAAACTTTAAAGTATGTAAATTATATCTCAATAAAGCTGTTTAGAAACCTGTTTTTTAAAAATTCATTTTTTTAAATCCCAAAAACCATGATGGCAATAGTAACCCCAGAGTATTTCAGCCACCAATTTTCACCTTCCTCACAATGTAATCTTACTAAAAAAAGTCCAAGCAATCCATAATGATTCGGTGAAACTAAAAGTTATATGTATCACAGACAAAGACTCATGATAAAGAGTGGAAAACTAAATCTAATAAGACAGAAATGGGATCGCTTACTGTATTTTCCACAAACATCATTGGTGCCTGGTTACAATAA